TCCGTGCCGCCCGCGGCTCAGGTGCGCGCCGCGCGGCGCCCGCGGGGCCACAGCTCCGCGACTTCTTGAGAGCGGGGAGCGCTGCGGGTCGGTACCTGGAGGGTGCTCCCCTGTGCTTGGAGCTTACGGAACCCCTCAATTTTAATAGAAAATGCTACGTTTGGGTTTTTATAAAGGACCAAATGGGCAACGCGAGGAAATATGGTGACTGCTGCTGGAACCGTGCATTCGGTTTGTCGCGTTTTAAGGCTGAAAGGCGGGCACCTCCGCCGGGAAACCAGCCTTCCGCACGCGAGGCGGAGGAGAGCTGAGAGCCCATGGGCAGGTCCCCGTCACTGGTTACGGTTTTTACTTTGTGACTTAACAACAACAAAAACCACTCTGTAACTTACTCTATACGAGCATCACCAATACCTGTAGAATCCTTTGTAAAGCGCAGAACACTGAAAGATTAAAAAAAAAGAAAAAAAAAGTGTAGTTCTAAACATACTTGTCTAATGCTAACATTTGAGCCCGCAAAGAAGCTAATATTTATGGTGTGTATACTCAAAAGAATTAAAGTTAGTGGCTCTACATGTACATTTATGGTTTCTTCTACTTCAGCTAAAACATAGGTTCGTAAATTATGTGGATGGAAAGCACCAGAGCCCTGGTTTTCAGAAGAAGGAACTGAGATCATCTAGACGACTAAGGAGATTTGCGCGAGGCCTCGCAGTTGGTGGCAGGGTTCAGATGAAAACAAGCATAACCCAGAGGATAGCACAGGACACCATGGTGGTATCCTGTATGTAATTTGATTTAAAATACTTCAGCCATCACTGTAGAACGAAGACATGCCATGGTTAGATTTTACCCTCACTTTGCTCTAACCAGGAATCCACACCACAGAGGTGGTCAGCCAGCTTTAACGAGAGAAAAAAAATCAGGCCCTTAAGGCTGTTGTTGCTGGAGTTTCAACTGGTTTAACCTGCCATCTGCGCTAGGGATTCTGTTAATTAGCCTGATAAATCTCAGTAATGGGTTCTCAGTGGTAAATCTGGTGTTGACTACAATATTTTGAAAATGCTCTTCGCATATAAACACAGTAGAAGCCGATGTAAACATCTAGTTACCTTCCAAAAATGGAGGCCTTTCTGACATGGTCAAGTGTCCAGTCTTTTTGTGGGTTTTTTTTTTTGGTGATTCTGTTTGCCTACTACTGACTCACAGAAAAATAATTTCCCCTGTATTGTTTCTCAAGAAAACCTTTCGTGTGATGTGTAGTTGAAGCACACAAAAATTGGACAAATTGCTGGGATCTCACCAGCTGTCTGTGTAACAAACGTGTGTCTGGTACACGGAGTAGTTTATCTTCACTTCTTTCTATTTATGTCCACCACATCTAGGTCAATTTTACAGAAGGGAGCTGTCTTCCTCTGCATTCTCTGAGGTGTCTGAATGCTGACTTCGAGCAAGGCACTTGCTGGGTGCTACCAGAGATTCAAATATTTTAAATCTTTAGTAGAAAAGATTATAATTTCTCTTAAAAGTCCTGATGCAACCCCCACAGCTCTCTGTTCAAACGTATAGTGTAGATTTATGACACTGTATTATAATTTTTTTCTGATTTTATTCTCTCAACTGAACCCCCTTTTAAAGAACAGTGTTAGATTTACAGAGAAACTTAGAAGATACTATAGGGAGTTCCCGTATATCCCCCCACATACACACACAATTTCCCCTGTTAGTAATAGCATCTTACATTAGTATTGTACATTCATTACAATCAGTGAACTAATACTGACACGCTGTTATTAACTGAAATCCATAGTTTACTCAGATTTCCTTAGTTTTTACCTTATGCCCTTTTCCCACTTCAGGATCCCATCCAAGATACATTATATTTAGTGGTCATATCTCCTTAGGCCCCTCTTGGCTGTGACATTTTCTCAGACTTTACTTGTTTTTGAAGATCATGACAGTTTTGAAGAGTAGTGATCAGGTATATTGTAGGAGGCCCCTCTGTTGGAATTTGTCTGGCATTTTTCTTGTGAGACGGGGGTTATGGGTTTGGGAAGGAAGATCAAAGAAGTGAAGTGTCATTTTTCAACACATCATATCAAGGGTACATACTAGCGATGTGATTTATCACTGTTGATGCTGACCTGGCTGAAATAGTGTTTGCCAGGTTTCTCCATTGGAAATTAACTCTCCCCTCCCCCCCTTCCATGCCATAGTCCTTGAAAGGAAGTCACTATGCATGGCCCACCCTTAAGGAGTGGGAGTTAGTCCTGCCTCCTCTAGGGTAGAGTAATCTACACAATTTATTTGGAATTCTTGTGTACTCATTCATACTTTTTTCTCCAGGGATCAGCATAGTGCCCTCACCATAATAGGCTCTTGTGAATTGCAAGATTAGGTTTAAACAGAACTTTTTCCCTCTAAGAAAATTGATAATGTTCTGTATTTTAGCAGGAGGAAAATGCCTCATGCTAAATCTCCATTTTTGTTGTTGTTGTTAGGCATAGAAGGAAGGTAAATGAGGTGTCTGTGGTAGTAGTAATGGTAGTTGTTTTGTAGTTTTCTTTATAAGGAGAAGTGCTCTGTAAATTTTATTCGTGTTATTAATTTTAGGGTGATGCCATTTGAAAAAGTAAAGATGTAATATTTAGAAGTAATAGGTAAAGAAATTTAGCTAGAATAGTATACTACCAGAGATAGATTTTACCAGAAAGCTAATGAAGCTTAGGCTTCAGGGACCCTTGTTTGCACAGGTGCCTTCTAAGGCCCAGTATTCACAATTTAGTATTATTTTACTTAAAAGGGCCCCAAATATGATTAAGCTTCAGACCCCGCCAGACTGGGCTCTTTCCCTGTACATTGCCAAATATAAGAAGATGAAAGCAGAGAGCTATAAGAGTCATAAACATTAATAGGCGGCACTCCCACAGTCTGTGCACCTGACTTCCCAGAAAGGGTGCTGTGCAAGGTGAGACTGAAGTTTGGGTTCCCCAGTCAGATTTAAAACTAGTTAGCAGCCCTTATTTTCTGTCTCAAATTGTCTTTTAAGCACACCCAGTGAAATTGACGCTATTGTACATTTCTTAGTTTTAGAATTTTCATTTGGTTCTTTATTGTAATTTTCATTTATCTGCCCAGCTTTCCCATTTATTCACTCATTGAGATGATGTTTTCCTTTAAGTCCTTAAACATATTATTAGCTGATTAAAAGTTCTTATAAGCTACTAAAGTGTACCTGAATTATCTTAGAATGTATGTTAAGATGCTGATTTTCCAGTGCCTGAAAATAGTTGCCTTATATATTTTGTTAACTTATATATAGAGTTGTTTATAGCAAGAAGACAAGTCTTGGTAACAGTCTGTCATGTCTGGAATTCTTCATTGCTTTTGTTTCCCACTAATTTAGCATCAAAATCTCAAAAGGAAAGGGGTTTATCATTTACATTCATAATTTTTCTTATAATTTTGATAGCCATTTAGGTTACTGCAAAAATAATTCTCTGGAGAGAGTAAGATAGAGAGAGAGATATAATTATCATAGTCTAGTATTATACATTATTGTAAGCAAAAACTTATTTAACTAGGGTGTTTGCATTTTTTGATCA